AAATTGGCCCATTTCTAGAACGGGGTATCAGTTTTAGGGCGAATTCTAGAACGGGGTATAAAAAATTGGCCCATTTCTAGAACGGGGTATCAATTTTAGGGGAAATTACCCCCCCCCCCCCCGGGCGTGTGACCCGTGATCAGATGAGACTCTAAAATGAGGGATTAGCCGATTACGCCAAACATTGCGATGCAAGGTACGTACGAGGTACGGTTAAAGATTCGGCACCCAAGTTTGTTACTTTTTGGCTTGTTTTGGGTATCTGACGTGGTGACACCGGAATGAGTTGGAGACATCGCAAGATCACCTCTAGTTGTTTCGGCTACAACAATATTTGAGGGGGAGCGCAAAGTAATGTCGTCTGACTTGCATTTTGTTTCCTAAGTGAGGCCGGAAGTTGTTCGAGATATCTCGAGATCAGCTCGAGTTGTTTAGTTTATCTGAGGAAGAAAGAAATATTATCTTTTGCCCTTCGGTTTGTAGTTACTTATCTTTGCCCCGTTAGATCACGGAGACGAGATTGTAGCAGAAAAGTAAAAGACGGTTGATTTGTAGGTTTAATTTTTTTTTTTCATTTTGGGCGAGCAGCAAGTTAATGTTTTGCTGCAGAACTCCGAACAGTAGGCGTGCGACGATTAGTTATTTTGGGCTTATAGGAAACTTATTGAAACGGCAAGTCGAGTTTTGGCAGTTTAAAGGCAGTCGAACTCATAAGAGCTCGTCTTGCGCAATTTATTTATGACAGAAATTATAATCGAACTGGATTACAGCCACGGTGGTGTCATGCACCGAGCAGACTTCCGGTGAAGAAGTTGAGACGTCCGTAACACAAAAGGAGAAAAGTAATGGTATTTTTATGGAAGGGCATCCGGAAAATATCATTTCTTACTGTTCCTCCACATTCACAGTTAATCCACAACCACGACGCCGAAGTTTACGCTCCATAGCGTCTTGTTGTTTTTCTGTTATATTACAGGTACACCTAACGTCTTTTGCAAGCAAAATAAATCTATTTATCTCCTTCGTTTATCAACAGCATCGGGCAGTCGTAAATATCTTCAATTTCTTTCCAGTCTGGAAAATCGTCCAACATTTCCTTTAATTAAAGAGGTACAAATACATTGAAGCAAGCATTTTAATTTAATTTGACCGTCAGTAACTTATGCAAGGTCACCCATTCCTTTCATATTTTCTTCGGGAAGTCATTTTTTATTTCAAAGTTCCAGCTAAAAAGCTATACATGACATCCTTTGTTGTGAACATTTCGACTGCAAGTTCGACGTTATTCACAAAATCAGGATTTTACCCAAAAAAATGTTCGGCCACAAAGGTGATGGGAGGAAAACTAAACAAGGGAAATTTTTTTAATGCACCCAACATAATCATAACTTCTCAGTATGGTATTTCGTTGAGTGTTATTGAAATAATTTCATGTTCACTATGAATTTTAAACGATATTTTTTATTGGTTGTACTTGTCAGTTTCTTTTTTTAATCTAAGCGGAAATGCATGAAGCTGAGAATGAACAAACGCGTAAGTTTACCAGTTGGACCTGAGCTGATGACTTGCCAGTCCTATCTTAGCTTCTTTCTGTGCGTTGGATTTCAAGAACAGAAACTTTATTCTTGCAGGAAGGACAGTATAAAACAATTTAAAAGGAGGTGTATAAATAATAATATTTTCCAGGTATGAGTCAATTATGTTAGTCAAGAATAGAGTAATTTTCGAAATTTTAAAAAATTTCATGAAATGTTTCCTTAAGCATTACAGGGCTCAAATCTCCTTTTAATTCATAACAGGCAATTTGAGCCGTTAAATGCGCGAGGGAAAGATTCATTTTTCTCGCACAAATGCTTCTAACTTTCGGCGGCCGTTGCAATCGCTACTTTTGCGATATACGGTTGAAAATTAACAGGTTTCCTAATTTTGATATGCTCTTTCAGCTTGTGCTAGCAAAATTTTTCAAAAGTGAACTGTTTTCGTATTTACCGAAATACCCTATTACAAACCTACAGCTGGTGACTGCTAAACTCATCAGTCATAGATAACTGGAGTTTACAGACTTCACACTGATTTAAAATATTTATCAGAGATTCTTCGTTTTAATGATCTGTTCTCTGTTAAGAAGACTGTAAGAAGCTCGGATTTTCAAAAGCGTTTTTCAACATAGGAGTTTATTATCATATAGTCCATGTGGATTGCGTTAAAGTGATCAACTCTTCTTGACGAGTATATTCAAAACTCGACTGTTCAACAAAAAGGTTTGTTAAAAGTGAAAATGGTTTAATTAAAATTAGCATTCGATATCCAAGTAGCCAAAAATAAAATTAAGAAAGAATTTGCATATCGACATTAAAATGGCTAAATAGGCTCTTTGCACGACTTGATCATGTGACCAACTTTCGGTAAACACGAAAACAGTTCACTTTTGGAAAATTTTGTTACACAAGCTGAAAGAGCATATTAAAACTAGGTAACCTGAGAATTTTCAGGCGTATATCTCAAAAGTAGCGACTGCAACGGCCGTCGAAAGTTGGAAGCATTTGTATGAGATAAACAACTTTTGCTATCCAGTCACGCTTGCATGTTTTTCCATACAAATCCTTGTAAATTCCTTTCCTTTACGCATTTAAAGGCTCAAATTGCCTTTACGAATTAAAAGGAGACTTGAGCCCTGTAATGCTTAAGGAAATATTTCATGACAGTTTTGAAAATTTCGAAATTACAAGGATTTGTAATGAAAACCATGCAAGCGTGACGGGATGGCAAAAGTTGTTCATCTCATTCTAATGCTTCCAACTTTCAGCGGCCGTTGCATGATATAAAGCATGTTCACGAATATCGAGATTACTTTTGTTCACGGATCACGAGAACTACAATGATTCTTTCGTTCACGATTCATCATGGGAAAACCCCCTTTACGACCCTTTTTGTTTGCCTAGTCCCAAGGCCTCATTATTATGCGCGGCCGATGCGTTTCGGGTCACGTGGTCCGAGAAAGTGTTTGAGGCCTAGACAAACTCGGAGAAGTGAGACACTTTAATTTGAAAGGGTGTGTTCCTTTCGGTGAATCCAAAAACGGATTTTAGATCTAAGAACGGATTTCGCATTCCTTTCGGCAAATCCAAATCCGGGTTTTTGACCTGGTGAATCCTTTTTGAAAAAGGATTCATTGGATTTGAAATCCGAAGAATCCAAATCCAGATTAACGGATTAGTGATCTACGCTGTTCCATTCACAGTGGATCCGAAATTAGTCAGATGATCCAGCGGTATTTCCAGTTGAAGTATTCCCATAGAGGCCGTAGAGTTTCCTCGTTGCTGTCATTTGCCGCAAAACATCTGAAAACACTAGAAGATTGTTCTTGGTACATTAAAATATCCATATACTAACCATTTGTCTCTAAAGATTGCTTGAAATCAGAAATAAGTAAAAGTAACAAATGGACTGCTATCTAACTACAAACTCGCTTGTAGACGCGACAGGCACTCGATCGTGTTACATAAAAAAATCCGAGCTATGGAACTGGATCAAACTGGCCGACATTCTTTAGATAATTTTCAATTTTGATGCGCTTCTTTCTTTGTCTGTTTTATATGTTCCATCGTCGCTATTCGAACTGCCGACCACTAAATTCTGCACGGTATAAATCGCATAATTTGTCAAATAGTAGAAAACACGTCATTTTTTGAGAGGCTGTCGGGCATATTGCACGCGTTGGCGAAAGGTTACCAAGGTTACAAATCCAATTTCGGATTTCACGTTCCTTTCGACCGCGAAATCTGGCAAATCTAGGATCAAAAATCCGTTTTTGGATTCGCCGAAAGGAACACACCCAATTCTCTCACTTGGGGCGGAGCTTTTGGACGTGGGCGAGCTGTCAATAACGTTTCCGCGCTGATGAAAGATGTCCAGCAGCCATGGAGAGTACAGAGGATAAAGAGTTAAACCAAGCATTTCTATTCTATGCACGTTTTCATTGTTGAAAGTCCTTTGGCCTTTCTTTTTCATTTATTTCATTCAACTAATTTGAACTTTATTTCATCTCAAAAACTATTTGTAGGCTAAGCAAAACAGCGTCGCAAAAAAATTATTTGATCAAGAATCGGAAGGTAAGCTAAAGAAATAAGTTTATATTTATTCTTGGATATGGAAAGCTATCCTTCGTTTCTCTATTTTCGCTTGCTCCTATAAATTTCTCGTTATCATTTCACTTCGAAATATTTTATGTAATTTAATTTTTGGAGTTGGAAGCTTATCAAACTAATCGGACAGGCTGTTGAATTTGGTCTCTAAATTTGGTAGAATGTCAATAAACTACCAAGTCAAACCAAAAGTCAAGCGTACCCCCGCAAGATTGCATTAATGAATTTATTATTCGAAAGTTGAATTCGTTGGTAGTTGTAGATTTCAGATTCATGTCTGCATTCTTGCATGCGTCATGAGCCGTGAATTCACACGCGAGTCAGTTACTAAATTTCTACCCGCTAAGTTTCCCTGAATTTGATGTAAATGTCTTCTATGAAATTTAACCCATTCAAAGAATTTCAATCTGACCAAATACAGAGAAGTTCTCGTAGAATTTTCACACCTCATTACGAATACCGGAATGCCGATTTGAATTTGACACCAGTTAGCGGAACTTACCTTGAAAAGTTTAGAGAGAAAGAAAAATTTGTCGTCGCTTGTTTACGGCCTCAAAAAAACTTCCCATCAGGAAATTTTATGTCTTAGTCGTGCAGCAATGGAAAAGAAATACGAGCAAAAAGCGTACGTCATCATGCACGTGCAGTCCGTGCAGAGTAATGTTTTGATAAGATAAGATAAGATAAGATAAGATAAGATAATTTATTTAATATCAGATACACAGGGGGTGGTCTCCCAATCCCCCGAGCCACGGGCTCATGATGAAAGTGTTTGACAATATAAAAGAAAAATTAATCAATTAATATCTCAATAGCAACTAATTAAATATAAAAAAAATAAATAACATCTATCTATCGGGAAAACCTCGAATCGAGCTTAAGAAGGTAAACAAATCAATAAACACCAGAAAAGTTTCGTTTGTATTGTAACCTCATTTTCTTCCCGAAAAGTATATCACAAAGGAAAACCGGCCGGACCACCTTAGGCATTCTCAACTTCAAATTATCTGAACTTTCCTAAAATTTCTAGATAATCGCGAACAAGCAAATTAACTTTAATGGCAAACTGGAATAAGCAAAACGCATAACTTCTTTAAAAATTAACTTTTAACTTACTAATGCATTTCACTGTGCCCAGAAGGACGCTCGCGGCAGAATTTCTAACCATTCTTTGATGACTACAAATCTTCGAATGGATCTTCAGGTGGCAGTTCCTTCATTATGTTTTGTAAGATTTGAGTTTTCTCTATGGATATTAGACCTCGCGTATTTATATTTCGCAAAGATTTTTATTCAAATGATGCAATATATATTTGGCGCATATATGATCTTGGCACTATTTGCTAATATTTACTCTGGTGTTTGCAAGAGTGATGCTTAAACCTCCGTGAATTTACGTTGAACCTTGGTCAATGCCTCTCGCTCGTCCGAAGACGCAGACAAAACGCCTTCATTTAAAACGCTTATCACATTCCCTTGTATAAGCAACACTGCTCTTATTTGCAGTCGACGCTCACCCCGGGGGGGAGGCGGCGCTTATACAAATTCTCTCCTTTGAGATTAATACGGTATGACGTATTTTGACTTTTTTTTCCCTTGCTTGGTCCCCAGAGGGTTTGTTAATTTTATTTTCTAATTCTTGATAGATCCTGAGTTTGGGCGGTGAAGCGACAGAAGCTTCATCAAAATGTGAAGACAGGTATATTTGATCATGCTAGAGTTTTGGAGATTTTGAGAGCAGATCTCTGGGGCCAACCTTGTTGCTCGGAAGTTGGGGAGTAATTAAATTTTTTACGTTAAAGTCTGGTACTTATTCGAGCACGGCGTTTAAGTAAATACCAAAGTAACATGTAAACTTAATACACAAATTCATTCCATTTCTTTACTTCAAAGAACAATGCATAAAAGCAACTGCCTAGCCCATGTCAGTTTAAATCCTCCGATTCCTTTAAAGTTTATAACTTTGACAAAACTGCAACAAAGATTAGCTGAACTTCATAAATCTTTTCTTCAAATGAGCTTCGACCTTTAAAGCCATGTCTTAATTGAGAAAGCTTCATTTGTCATTAAGCCTAGCATCACATTGATTCTCACAAATTACAACTCTTGTAACCAAAACGGCTCTTGAAATGTTAAGAACCTCTTTAACATCACTTGTTCCCATATTTTAAATAACGAAACGAACTCGCTTTCATACGAGCTTCTATACTTATTACATTTATGGTTAAAATTTATCCCATTTATAGTTAGTAATTTATTACATCTATGGTTGATTATTATTACATTTATGGTGGGTATTACATTTATGGTTGAATTTTTATTACATTTATGGTTGTTCAGTATTACATTTATGGGTGATAACGTGTAAAGGTCGTCAATCGCCCGAACTTGACATTTACCGTATCGCCAAAATATTTATCCAATGAAACTAAAATTTATATTTTCATTACTACAATAGCTGTGGTCACACTACAGTCTTTTACCTAGGTAAAAGCAATTTACCTAGGGTAAATTCATCAAAAATCTCCCGAGGTTAATTCATCTCGGGTTTCGTTTTACCTTGGGGAAAATTCTGGGAAGGTCACACTACGGTTATCGGCTCCCAAGGTTTTCACGCCAGTTGAATATTTTGGAGCGTAAATTTAAGAAGGCAAGATTCGCCGGGATCTAGCTGATCAAAGAGATGTTTTTTCTTTTATCTCGCTGTTATTTACGCTAATTGAACGTGCAAGGTGAAGAAAGCCGAAGACAGAAGACAGAAGCACGTGAGTCGTTAGAATGATGGGGAATAACCTTAGGAGATGTTTACATGAGAAACCTTGCACCGACGCGCGTTTCATACCGGGACGACTTTTTGATTTCGTATCGTGTTTACACGATGACTGGGTCATTTCATATATCGTTATTTGAAGATACACTTCGTGTTGATAAAATACAAGTGTGATTGAAAATCGCAAACATTACGCATGCGCTACCCGTTCCAGTCTACCAGCAGACCGATTTCACACCGAAAGGGGTGGACGCTTCGCGTTTACATGATACCGTTGCGATATTTCGTACCGGAGTGAAATTCTCGCCCCGGTACAAGAACCGGGACGAACTCACGCCGGGATGACTCGAGCTGGCATGACATTTTGTGGTGGTATCAAGTAAACAAATAGAGTAAACAACAAGTAACAAGTAAACAACAAGAGCCATGAGAGGGAACCGTAGTGAACTCGCTCCTGGACGAAAGTTGCCCCGGTGTCATGTAAACACCCCTTTAGTCAACTTGGGACTCGCCTGCATGGTCACTTTCCTTTTCTTGTTTATGAGGAATAATATATAGATTTAGCCAGGGCTAAAAGCGAAGCTCTCGATAATATTTATAGTTTGTTCAAACAAAATATAAAATCGTGTAATGTTAAGCGGCGAAGCCAACGCCAGAGAATGGTGAAAGACAACAATAGGTCTAATTAGCAAAAAAAAAAGCAACTTTTCCCGGTGGAACACACTTTTTTTGTACATTTCTTTGCCGTTGTTTTGCACGAATATAGCGTGAAACTTCCAGAAACTTCTTAGTAACACGTTTTATGGAGGAAATGTCGTACGTGTTCTCGTTCACTTTTTTTTCACTGCCGTTCATTTTCACCTTGCATTGGTGGCCGATAGCATTTCCCATTTTGTGACCGCCGCTACAAAATTTTCATGTTGTTCTTCCAACAAAAAAATGTCTCCGTTATTTTTTATCTCTCGCTCTAGACCTCCAGCTCCGTCGCCCTTTTTCTCGTTGTGCTTCGCTGGCCTGCCTCCTACTTTCTCTTTTTCTCTGTCTTTCTCCTGCTCTATATTCCAAATTTGTGGACATGCGAATTACTCTAAACTAAATACTTTAGACAACACGGATACAGAAACAATTTTCGCTTTCCGTTTTCGTCTTTTTTGACCCTTTAGTTGTCTCTGCTTTACAAGACGCCGGTGGCTATGCGATTTCCCGCCAAAATAACCTCCAGTTGCATTTGGGTTGCCATACCTGTTGATTGAGTTATTTTACATTGGTATGCCTGTCGTGCGGACGGACGGTCGGGCGGGCGGTCGTTCGGTGTACGGTCACGTGATTACCAAATTTTTCGGATGGGTAAATTACTTCATTTTTTCTTACCCATGGTGCTCCGCTGGAGTACTTCGCGCGCGAGGCCCCGCTATCATGCGGTTATTGCATGTAAAGTTTATGCTATTGAGTAACTGCGGCACTTTTACAGTTTATCACATAGTTTATAACGATATTATTATTATTTTTTCCAGAAACATAATATGTATGGAAAGAAGAAAATAAAAGTTTCCTTTGTGATTTTAGCCGCTGTTAATTTATTTATGCATGTGAACTCCTCGGAAAAAAGACGGATAACATGTGGTAAGAGAGGGTCTTTTTGTTTATATTTTTATCTCTTAGACAGCATAATTCCATCCCAAATTGATACTAGAAGTTAATTTCTGGTCTAAACACTTTGAATTCTTTCCTCGTCGACTTTTTATGTCTTTTCATTTATCTTACTAACAATTGACTTAATGCTTGCGGTGTGGTGAAATTAGACTCTCCCATGGTTCTTTTTTTTCTTTTTTAGTTAAATTTTGACCAATTAGCAAAGATGTATTGATAGATCTCAGAAGAGCGCCTTCAAATCAGTAAAGCTGTCAAATCTAAGAGCCTAGAGCTGGCTCCGGAAATTGGTGAAGTTTTAATTTTTAATTGAAGGAGCTGTTTATCCCGGCCTGGGCTTTTTATTCGTCCCTGAGCCAGAGGGGAGTTTCAAGGTGCTCCCTAGTCCCCCTCCCCCACCAATAATAATCGAAAAGTATCACGATGATGCCACGAAACTTAGCAGGTTTGTATCAAATCATCAGGCTAACAACGTGGCACTGATCAAAAATTAACTTACGACATGTATGACGTCATAATTACGGCGGTAGTTTAAAATTTGCATTTTCAATTTTTTTTACATCTTTTTCCTAGACTCTGTAAAACCAGATTCATTGGTACTTTTATTTAATTTTATGACAAATGCACAAATTTTTGCTGTTGTCGCTAAGAACTTTACGTTAGTAACACGCTCTGGGCGAGGAGAATTATGACGTCACATAACGTCGTAAATCCACCATTTTGACATTTCGAGGCAGGCATTTCTTTTTAATTTCGCAGTTGTTATAGTTAACGATGAAGTCAGCAAAAATATTAAGAAAGTTTGGAGGTTTTCTTGTCACCCTTTTAAGTTATAATTAATCAAAGTTAACTCGGTTCATTGTGCCCTCTCCCGCAGGTTGAATGACGTGGAAAAAAAACATAAACGAGTTGTAATATAACATTTTATTCAACATAACGCAGGTTTTATTTACGATGGAAGCAAAACTGAATACGACGCAATCAAATCTGCTATCAACCACACGAGCGCCACCAGCAACGTTTCCATAGCATTAAACATTTTTCACTTCTCTTCAGATTACAGCCTTTTTGACCAAGGTAAGTTATCAAGGTCAACTTTACCACTGGACTTGGAGATAACATTAGCTTTAAAGGAGCTGTCATTGTGTTATGAATTTTATCAAAATTCTAACAGTATGAACTTCCACTGAAATTGAGGGGAACATAAAGTAATCAAAACATGAAAAGAAGGTATTAATAACAAAGCAAATAAAAAAGTAGAAATGGATGGACAAACTTGTAAAAGATTAAAACGGATTGAAATTGTGGGTTTTTGAAAACTTGTTAATAGCCTAAGAGGTTTTTTAAAGTTCATTTTTGCTGTTGTAACGTTTGATATAATGCTTGGGAAGTATAGTTGTTGGACTTGAAGCTGCAGTTCTTGACGAGTAGGCAAACGCGTGATAAATTACAGTGTTTGCATGAGAATCTAATGTCGAATAATTTCCGTCGAACAGCTGTTCTGAAAAAAATATGAACTGTAAACTAAAGCTTTAATCCGAAGGATTCTACTGAAAAAAATTTAGGGCGTTTCATGCGGTAGAAGACCTAGAGCCACTTTTTAAAATTTTCTATACATTTGTCTGTAAGAAAGTCCCGGGACAAATTACAGACAAATATATTAGCGAACTGCCGGTCTTATTGAGTGACCAATAACGGGCAATGTTGATTCAATGTTGATTCAAAGGCATAGGACCTCAGGTAGTTATAATTTATTTAAGCACTAGAATAAACGGAAGTCATGTTTTTAGTTCAAATATGTTTTAAATCTACGCTAAAACAACATTTTTTAAGTTAAAAGAATATAAGCAACTTTTCAGCCTTCCCCAAAATTAAAGATGGCAGCCAAAAGGAGATTATGAGGGGCAAATTTAAATTTCGATTTTCAAAGTGAAAGCTACCGTTTTATCCTTGCTATCATGCATTTTTGTAATGCTTAATAGTCAAAGATTAATATGTGACATGTTTCGGCTGTTCCCCTCGAGTGAGCCATAAACCCAAATTTTCGGCTCTCAGCTGATGGACCATATGGAAAATCTAAAGAAAGCTTCTGGAGAAATTTTAGCACAGATACGTCCCCAATTGTTTTTAGCAAAATCCCTTGCTTTGTAGCTTCAGTTTACAATTTATATTTTTTCAGAAAAGCCGTTATGCGGAAATTATTCGACATTAGATTCTCATACAAACACTGTAATTTCTCACGCGTTTGCCTACTCGTCAAGATGGCGTCGAAAACGGTGACAAGGTCTTTTAACAGAATGAACAAGACAGCCGTGATATAGCCCCTATAAGTATCTTTTACATACCCATAAAACGGAGTACTGATGAAGAGAGAGGTGTAGGTGTTAAAATGAGCGCACCCCTGGCCTTAGATTTGTTATGGCGCGTTCCAAAAATCAGACTGGCGTGCAGAACTTGTAATTATTAAAACGAAATTTTAATCGATTCGCGAAATTTCCGTTAAAGCCATTACTGCTGGGGATATGTTTTATGGACAGACTGATCCGGCTGTATTATTCCGTAATAGTGGAATTCTCATAACGACTGAACTAGTTTGGCCAGCCAGTTCTGACAAATGGTAAGCACTCTTAGTCAGATGAAGACTATTTCCAGCGCAGACCGACATGAAAAAAGGACGCTTTACCTTTAGCTTTAGCAATGACATACAGTATGTTGCCCAATATCCGGCCGGTACCTGAGTATCCGACCACTTAAAACAAAAACTCAATTTTTGAGGCGCCTTTTTCAGTTCTTGGTAAACGAAGTATTTCGAATAAAAGCTGAACATTTCAACTTTAAGATGAAAGTTTTGGCTAGTTTGCCATTTGCAAAACAGTTGCAGAAGGCCCCGTTCAGGTGAGTAAACTTTTCATGGCTAATATTTACGTTGTTTACTGCGCAGCAAAACTATTACTGTTCAGAAATGGGTTGGTAATATGTGGATTTTCAAAGAAACTGTGTTCTTAAGTACTGGAGGTACTTAAAGAAGTCAGGCTCTCAGAAAATTAATTAATCCTTCTTGAAATTCAATTTGTTTGGAATAACGGAGACCAGAAACATTCATTACGTATTGATGTCAGGTGCCCAGTATCCGGCCACTTTTTCTTTGATGTACAGAATCGATGGATTAGCTGCGTTCATTATCCGGATAAGATTTATTTCATATCTATAACAATAATTAAAGCTTAGGATATATAATATAATCGTAAAATGTAATTCTACAGAACTCTCTATGGAATTTCTATGGAAATTTTCTTCACTCAATCAGAGGCGACTTGATTTCGTGTGCACGGCTTGTTTCGGGTGACTGGAAATTCTATATATAACCGGAAGCGTCGGAGTTGAAACGGGAATTCTCATAATTTCCCCAGTTGTGACTGCTAGAATGGGGTTGCAACGGTCTGAAAAATGTCTCAAAGGGATTGAGAGATGTGAAAGAAGGAGGAGTTAGTGCTAGAAAGCAGGCCAAATGTGGGGACTGAGCATGAAGAAATCAACACTAAAGGTCAGACTAAATGGGATAGTGACCTGTAACCGTCGGATTGAGATCCCTTAGCCAGTTTTCCACGGTTTGCAGAAAGGCTAATTGAGGTTGCAAACCGCGGCTTTGGCTTCTCCGCGGATGCGTTCCTTAAATCAGTGAAAAAGGTCCTAGACAAGAAATTAAGAACCATACCATTTAACAGCCGCTCGCGTTCCCCACCATACGTCAGTCATTTGTTATGTTTTATTTCACGATGCTAGGTTTACAGATCGATTTATATTTTTGGAATCGATTGCCAGACTACTTTGCAAGTGCAAAAGAAGCTTATAAGTCGCTTGCCTGTCGAAATTGATGTACAATTACGCTGTTATTGTTGTGGCCAGATACTGAGCCAGCTGCTAGGATACTGGGCAACATAGGAGCTCTGCAAAAATATTAATTTCGCGATGGAAACAAAGGCAAAAAAAATAAACTGTCTTTCGTCATATTAAGGACTAAATAGATTGTCTCTGGGCCAAATTTCAGAATTCGTGCGACTAAGAAAGGATAGTTATTGCAATGTTAAACTGAAGTGGCCGGATTCTGGGCAACATACTGTACACCTGTCTTTGCAGGGGGAGGGGGTTAACGTTTTAGTGCCTTACCGTCATTTGCTAGTCTAAGGGGCTGCCCACACTTGGTGCTCGGGAACCAGTGCCTGGGTACCGGCACAAAATGGTGCTGTGTTCACACTTTGAGTACCCAATATGTGACTGTGTATATAGTTACTCCATTTCGCCCTGTCAGATGCCATTTTGAAACATTCGCTTAGCAGCGAGAACAAAGCAGTTGGCTGTCCGAACCTACAAAAATTGTGTGCACACAGGGACCCGGTGTCCACTTTTGTGCCCGAGTACAAGGTCAAGACCTTGTATTCGGACACCCGCACCGTGCCCGCATTCTAGCGTGGGTACTTGAAAAAAGGGTGTGTTCGCGTTAGTACCCAGCGAGAACCGTACTCGGGCACCATGCCCAGGCACCAAGTGTGACCGCTGCCTAAGGATTTGTTTTGGTGGACGCTGGTGGCTAGACCATGAAACACGCGCAAATAATAGACATCCAACATAATGGAAAACCAGATGACGTGCTCACGCAGCAAAGTAATCCATCACTTAACATAATACACACACCCCTTTTCTCAAAGAAATACAAGGCCACCGAAAAAAGTACTTAAATAATTACCCCAAAGCCAACGAATTGTACGTGAATTCCCGAGGTTATATACGAATGGACTCTCGTTAAGAAAAATCCTAATTTCGTCTACCCTAAATATGGATATGCTCATAATTCATTTCCTATCTTTAGTGGTTCGCTGCCACTCTGATTTCATTGAAAATCGGTTCGATCTTTCATATTTTGTTTAAATCAGCATCAACTTTACTTTCAGCCATTGGTGTGTTCCAGCAGCAAAATATTACGGTACTAATTGGCGGGAGTCAATCGGAGTCGCACGCATGCTCACTCTCTACAGTTACTGGCATCCCTCTTGTTCGTCTCTATGAAAGCGTTATGCCATTTAATCAGTGCGACAAAACAGTGGATATGTCAGTAGACCACAGATACTTTGCGCAAGCCACATTTGACGTTTTAACCAGCTTTCACTGGAGGAAGATTTCATTAGTGTTTGATGGTAACCAAGAGTGTCTTAGGCTCCGTTTATTTGAAGGAAAGTTGCCCTGAGTTGAAGGGTCACCACTGCACGAAAAATTGTATTTACACAAATTTGCTCGGGGCAAATGTCGTGCAAAAAAGTGGAAACTAGGAGAAAATCAGAGGCAAAGAGGGTAAATACCGCATTTGCATTCTAGTTTACATGGGGTTGCAAATTCGAGGGCAAATGCGTTCATCGTACATTAACCGTAGTTTGCACTTTTTTGCATCATATTTGCACTGAGTAAATTTGGTGAAAATCAAATTTTTCGTGTAGTGCGCGCTCCTAGTCGAGTTACCCTGGGCGGACAATTTTTCATCATTTCCTTACAAAACGTGGCGAACCGATTAAATAAGAAACAAAAAAGTTGGCTCGTTACAAAACGTGGCGAACTGATTAAATAAAAAACAAAAAAATTGGCCCGGCTAGAAGAGTGACCCGCCTAGCCTGGTCACCCTTTTGTGATGGTACTAGTAGGTCACCTTCCTAGCCAGGCTAACTTTTCTCCACATATACACTGTGGCTCGCCCACCCGGGTCAATAAGGTCAATGTAGGACAATCAGAGCATGTGCGAGTGCTGTTTTAGACAATCAGATCACGTGCAGAGCATGCACGGGCGCTGTTGCGGGCAAAGGGGACAAATTTTGTCATATAAATGAAACGCGCGCTAAAGTTGACTCTTCTGGGAGCTAGGGTGACCCTTCTATCCAGAACAGATTTACTCCATATAAACGGGACCTAAGTATCATCCAGTATTATTTTCTGATGACGCAAATTTTTAGTAAAGTGTGATGTAAATGTTAATAAGATCATTCCTTTGCAGCTATAGTTAGAACTCCATTTATACTTAGTATAGCTTTTCCGCAAAACCGCCTATTCCATGGATGAAGCATTGAACGGCTTTATCTGCACCTTATGTATGACACTCACGTCTGTCGCGGAAGAAGAATTTACTCTTGTTGCATCATGCATTTCTACAGGGCCATTACCTCCAACGCCCATTTCCTCTATCCCGAGGTGTCCGTTCTAGAGAATTAGACAGTATGTTAAAAATCTCTTGACATTATCTACCATATAAAAAATACGAGAAGCCAATGTTTCATCGAAACAGATGATAACTGATAAGCACTCGTGAAGTGGGTGGAAAACAGAAGGTGCAGACAAATTTGCCAATAGCAATTCGAGTGTTTGATATACCTTATCATATAACAAATCTTTCCTGCATTACTGTGAATGCCCAAACGCGAGTTTCGGGTTGCAAAAATACCAGCGATGATTTGTATGAATCTATCTACCCAAGCCTCGATCTCAGACATTTCATTGCGTGTGCACTGGAAAAACAATTTGGAAGTTTCGGAACACTTACTATAACTGAAGCATTTTTCTGAATTGCACTTCGACAGAGAATCGGTTACTTGACGCTGGTTACTTTTACGCAACTTTCCACAAGTCCAACTTGGCCATGAATTTAGTGCAGCTTACCAACGGAAGGACAAATGAGGAACAGAGAAAGGCAGTTTTGAAAGCTACCGAGGAAATTGCAAAAGTTGGTCCTCAAGTTATTCTGCTTTACACTAGCAAAGAAATAACCCAACTACTGTTGCAACAGGTAAGACAAAAACTTTGTCTATTCTCATTCGCGTAAAACCCAACTTATGATGATTTAATCTGTTGGATAGCGGAGTGCCATAGCTGTCCCTAGGAAAGCTCTCTAGGCCTTTTATACGCCCTTGCAAACTCATTCGCTCTCTTCTCGCAAGTCTACTCAACTTAGGTTCCAGTAAGTTTTCCCATCCTCCTCTCCTTCAGCGGTGCTGGAAAATTTATCTTTATCCTATACCTTTTGCTAAATTTTTTCGCCCGTAACTTGTCCATCATTAGGCATATGGTGGCGTCATTTTAAAGTAAAGCTACTTCGAAAACAAATGACATCGAGTCTATACAGCAGATGACCATACCATATCCCTCATTTTATTCATGTGATAAAGACAAAAGGGTATGACGTCATCGACGTTAATTTATTCTCCGCAAGTTATTGAGATTCCCAAGAGCCTTAAAAATGTCTACTATACTACTACCAAAAAAGGGATGAAAACTCGTTGTAAATTGCAAAAAAAATAGATTATGCGCGAATTGTCAAGGCTAAGAATGGGTTGACGATGTGTAAGAAACACAAACGCAAACAAACCTCAAACTATTAATCTTTATACAATTGTGACGTTTACAGTATCTATGATATATTTTAAAAGAGGGCTATATCATAATTCATTTCGTAAAGTTCAGTGGTTCCTAACTATTTTGGCTACTTACGATAAGAAAAGAGGAAATAGTTTGGCGTTTTACTCTGTATTTATAGGTACCCTGTGATCTGAAGAAATACTACACATGGATCCTTCAAGGAGAGGTTTGTATTTACTGTGACATTACATCAAATATCACTTTCTGATCAACTTTTTTCAGGACGTTACTGAGGGAGTAAGCAACTCGAAGAATCAGGCTAGTTCTTTTCAATCTTCGTCAAACAATAAGGATATTGCCACCAGCAAGAACACTTCGTTTCCCAAAAGATTCAACCAGTGAACCCCTAGGTACACTCCGACTATATCGCTAGGGCTCCAAAAGCAACTGAAAAAGTATGGTAGCATTATTATCCACCTCCAAAATGCACTTTTACGTTGTCGCCGGACTTGTCACTCGAGACCCAGATGGAGAACTCAGTCGATATCTGGGATCCAGATTTTCTTCAACACAGGCTTATTGATCTCCGCACGGTGTGATTGACATATCTGTCGAACCACCGATATGCTATATTTTATTTTCTTTCCACTGGTTGATAAGATACTCCGCATGGCATTGCTTACGCAATCAAGATAATAGTCAGTGGCGTTACCTTCTTTGGTCTTTCTCTCACATGGGTTATACCGCCCACAAAAAAAGCAGTATTCCGTCATGCAGGAAACAACGTCTTATACTTTGTTATAGCAAAGTGTTACTTCCTTGATAGCATCGAAAAATAATAGCAAATTGTTATGTGCATTTAAGGTTTTACGATACATAATAAAACAACATATCTGAATACCTTTTTACTTTTTATCTAGGTATCCTTAAACCTCGCCAGTCTTCCAAACAATGTCGTTTTAGCTTTTAAGCTTCCATACGTACCTGATGCAATTCCTGGCATTAATCTCCAGAATTTCAACGAGGTAAGCTACACATGCCTGACGCCACAGCCTTAAGAACGCCTGCGTAAAAGGCCAATTGAAACTGCTTGTCTTTATTTGTTGTACCCTACTAATTTCTCTCTCGGTAAAAACGCCAAGTAATAGCTCTTTCGATAGCGGAGCTCCCGCGCGAGAATTAAAGCGGGCGCAGCGGAGCATCATGAGTAATAAAATTTGGTTACCTATGCATCCAAGTAATTTGGGCTGTAACAAAATCGCCCCCTTTTGGTATTAAACTGATGATATTACTGTAATTTAAGTAGGTCGAGGGTCTCAGATTCTAATGAAAAGAAAAACAAACAAAATTAGCTCCTTGATGCATGTTTATGTCTTGTTCGTAAAAAGACAGTCGAGTGTGGCTGTTGGCACAAAAAAACAATAAAATCAAAAATGAATGCACGATTATTGAAGAAATATAACGAGTAATTAAGCAGTTATTAACAGTTTATGTAAAATCTCCTTCTGTAGGATATTACTTCTGTTCAGGTATATGATGCGGTTCAAGTCATTTACCAAGCATTGAACAAAGAGCCGTGTTTATCGCTAAACGAGTCTAGTAACAATCAAGGGGATAAAGATCTTATATTTAACTGCATGACAAAGGTACTGACTTCATATAATATATCTTGATTAATTTTGAAGTTCTTAAAAATAAATCCATGGCTGATTCTCAACTTTCAGTCCTTGAGTAGCTTAATCTTCCTCGTCAAGGATCGACTTAATTTTCAACTTCTATGGAGGACCCATTTCCCCAATGTTCAGGTAGCCTAAAAGTAAGGATAAATGACCTTAATCCGGGAAAAAAAAACATTAGAACCTAGAATTTGCCACCTTGTACAAACAGTTTAAAGCTGCATGAAAAGCACTGGTTTTAACATCCGCATTTTTTTTCCTGATATGAAAAACAGCCACCCATGTCGTTATTGGATTATTCCTAATAGTTAATAGGAAACCTCGCAACCTGGCCTTTAATCGATTGATTAGTTGGTTGACTGATTAATTGATTGATTGATTGATTGATTGATTGATTGATTGATTGATTGATTGATTGAGTGAGTGAGTGAGTGAGTGAGTGAGTGAGTGAGTGAGTGAGTGAGCGAGTGAGTGAGTGAGTGAGTGAGTGAGTGATCGATCAATCGATCGATTGATTGATAGATCGATGGACTGATTTTAAAGTAGGTTTATTGTTTGTTTAATTGATTGGAATAATTTGTCGTTCGGCATCCGCGTCGGAGATGTGGTGTTCAGTTCCAGAAGATAAAGTTCTGCTAAGCACCCGATCTCTTCAGAGAAAGGCCAACTTTTCCATACAAATTTAACCATAATCTTTGTTTTTCTTCTTTGTTAAAGGTTGATATCGCTGGCATAAGTGGTCCTGTCCAGTTTGACGAGAACGGAAGGCGAATAGTCTCGCGCCTGGACATCCTTAATCTACGCAATAACTCCTTCAAAAAGGTAAGTAGTAAGAAGGGTATGAATAATCATATTTTTTTCCTCGCATTGCTTATTCAGGCTGAGTTTTTTTGAAAGCGAAAGACAGTCTCTCGACTAGATATCGACTACAATTACATTTTCGCAAAGGCTCCTTTAAACAACAACAACAATAAGCTTTATTTGCATGACTATAACAAAGTATTACAGTATTGCCAAAGCTACTTGAATTTAATTATTGATTCCTTTTTAAATTAAGTATTTAAAATAACTTTAAACATAATAATCATTGCTTATTTTCAACCATCAGTAGGATTAATTATTCCGGAGACACGTTTGTCTCTCAATTCAAAGCAAGATAATATAAATTAATGAAATTAATTGGATGTTAATAAAATAGTCAGTATAATTCATTAGATGTGATAATAAGGTCTCATGTGATCGTAAGAAAGGTATTTTAAGTTGTAGTTTAGAGAAGAACATCTCTCTTATCGAAGAAATACTTGGAAAATCTAATGAAAAGTGAGTCTCATCTTCAATTCTGTTACAATTGCAGAGACTGCACAACCTTTCATCACGCGGTATATTGTCGTATCTACCTGTCTCAATCCTAAGTTTGTGACTGCTTATTCTCAGTTTCACTTAACGCTTTCCTAGAAGGGTTCTTTCTTCTTAGATCTTGGTAAGCGGGGGGGCTATAGTTCGTTTCGATTTTGTAATAAAAGTTACGTTTTTGTAAATGTTGAAAGGTAGGGAAATTATAGTAGTCTATCATGTTCTTGAGACTGGAGTAAAAAACTATTTTGACCATTATGATGGTCAACAGATATCTTTAAAGATTGTTTAACTATAGAATTTTCATCTTTTTCTTACTTTAAGTAATAAAGTATTCTTTTATTTATATTGTAGCGCGAGGCAATCCCCGCGAGTACCCCTCTAAGTAAGTCACGTGAGATGGCGTAATAACCATGTGCGAAGAAATGATTGTAAGACGAGTGAGTAGTAGATTAAACATGTGTTGTTCTCTTAACTCCGTGTTTTAACTGGGAATCTTGGCGTTACACTGGTGGCAGCGGTAAACAAAGACGAACTTCACGGATATATGTGTTCAATGGCGATATTTCCATGGTTTGCGTGCCTGAGTTTCATCGCCCTCCGTTGTTTTTCATCCAAAGTCTCTTCGTGTGTTTGCTATCGTGGTCTCACCCGTTTGCAATGGCGGAAAACTCACTTGTGGATTCAGGATTTAAAGGAATGAGTTGTTCAACGCCAGCTAATCCTTTTAAAGCGGGAAACCCATTTACATCAGAGTCTGTTTCATCTGTAGACTCATCAATGCATGTGGAGAGTCCAGGTCGGCGATTTCTATCAGCGAGCTTGTTTGCCTCGCCGCTGGATCCGTCAGTACATGATAGCAGTGCAAGTCACCGATTTCGCTCCAAAAACCCGTTCGCATCGGAGAGTCAACAGGATACTTACTCCACTGATTTGTTTACACACCGCCCGAAGTTAAGCAAGCCTATTAAAAATCCTGCGGATTATGATGGTACTCAGTCGCTACGTGATTATTTGAAACACTTTGAGCGTTGCTCTGTTGTTAATGGTTGGAACCAAGAAGAAGCCGCTCTATTTCTTGCTGCAGGCCTTCGAGGAGAAGCCCAAAAGGTGCTTAATGGTATGTCTGATAGCGATTGTCGAACTTACGCCAAAATTGTTGAAAAATTGGAGCTTCGGTTTGGTGTTGAAAAGCAGCGTGAGTTACACCAAGTACGCCTTCATAACCGTCGCCAACTGGAAAACGAAAGTGTTCAAGCTCTTGCTGCAGATATTCGCTCTCTGTCAAGTTTAGCTTATCAGGACTTATCTCCGGTCACTCAAGAAAGATTTGCCGTCCAGCACTTCATTGATGCACTCAAGGATCGAGACGACAGGCTTAAATTACGTAGAGATAAACCTCGCACCTTAGATGACGCCCTGTCGCTGGCTTGTGAACTTGAGGCGTTTCGTCTCGTGGATGGAGACGAGCGGAGAAGCCCTCTTCATGTTCGCTCTGTGGATGAAGTTGATAAAGAGCCTGATTTGCTTAAAGCTCAGCTGGATATGTTACGTTCTGACATTCGAGTGCAACAACAACGTCAGGAGACTCAGCAAGTTGCTATGCAACAGTTAGTTGAGCAGATACAGCAGCTCTCCAAGTCGCTCTCTTTGAACACCTCTGGTAGCCAACAGCGATTACCTCCTTCACGTTACTCCAACCGCAATGTTCAATGCTGGAATTGTAAAGAATTTGGCCATTATCGTCGTAACTGCCCAAAGTACAAGTCACTTGACCGAGCCAACCCGGGCTCGGGAAACGGCCGCAGGGTGTCGCCCACGGGCCAGGGGGATGCCTAAATGCGAGTGATGTTGGCCCCACAAGTGGTACTGATGTGAACAATGCATTCTCTCAGCAATTGCCAAACCAGGAAATGACATGTCCTAATACACCCATGGAACAGTCACATGTTAATGAAAAGTCACGAGGCCTTTACTTGCCAGGCTTTCTTGGAGGATCTCGTGTCATGTGGTTGATAGACACTGGTGCCGCACGTTCAGTTTTGTCGTTCGAGGTTTATAATTCTTTACCTGTTAGCGTTAAGTTCAGTTTGAGTTCAGAAAATTCTGCCATTGCTCTTGCTAATGGTCAACAAGCGAAAACTTTTGGTGTGGGACATGTTGTCATGCGCCTTGGTAACAGCGAGTTTCAAATGCATGTAATTGTTGCCGAGATTGAGGATGAGGGCATTTTGGGTATGGACTTCCTGTCACAAGTTGATTCCCGTATTGACATTGCGACAAACCAACTGTCAATTAATGGCGAAGTGTTTGATTGTTCTGATTTCAAGAACCAACCCCTTAGTTCCAGATGTATGGTTCGACGGTCAACCATGATTGAACCTAACACTGAGGTGATTGTCCCAGTCCTTGTTCACAAGCGTTCATTTAACTTAGACCCACAGTCGTCTCAATTAGGCACGCGATTGTTAGAACCATGTCTGAACTCACATTTGCAACAAAAGGGACTTTATGTTGCAAGGACTCTGGTTGATGTTACGGAGGACAGGGTGGTCCCCTTACGTGTTTTCAATGTTTCTAATGAAGTGTTTCATTTGGCTGCTGAGACTGTGATTGCCCTTGCTAAGCCAGTTACTGATGTCACCTCACTAGAGCTTAATCAAGAGAACCATGACGGTGCTATGGGCCAAGCTAGAGTAATAAATGAACATGTGTCACAAGGAGCAGTCGATATGACTCTACCGAAGGCCTTGCAGGAACTACTTGAGAGAAGCACAGATAATTTAACTGACAGTGAAACTGAGAGACTGCAGGGGTTGCTATTCAATTACCAGCATGTGTTCTCAATTTCAGACGGGGACTTAGGCACCACGCACATGGTCCAGCACAGAATCGATACGGGCAATGCTCTTCCAATCCGAATTCAACCCCGGCGAACTTCACCGTGGAAACATGATGAGATAGAACGACAAGTCACTAACCTCCTACAGCAGGGCAAGGTGATGGAATCGTCCAGCCCCTGGTCTTTTCCGGTTGTGCTAGCAACCAAAAAGGACGGTAGCCAAAGGCTGTGCGTGGACTACCGCCAGCTTAACGCAGTGACGATAAAGGATGCCTTCCCCTTGCCTCGGGTTGATGATTCTCTTGCTGCTTTGAGTGGTTCCCGATGGTTCTCAACTTTGGATCTTGCCTCAGGTTATTGGCAAGTGGCGATGGATGCGGGCACCCAGGAGAAGGCAGCATTTGTAACTTCGAGCGGCCTGTATGAGTGGACCGTGATGCCTTTCGGCCTCTGCAACGCACCCAGCACCTTTGCCAGACTGATGGAACTTGTTTTGAAGGGCCTACATTGGAAGATTTGTTTGATCTATCTTGATGATGTGATAGTTATGGGACGCACGTTTGAAGAGGAATTAGAGCGGTTGAAAGAGGTGTTCGAGCGACTAGCCAGGGCAGGACTAAAACTTAAGCCAAAGAAGTGTTTTCTCTTCCAGAAACGGGTTTCGTACCTCGGACATGTGGTCACGGAAGAAGGCATTGCTGCAGACCCTGAAAAGGTGGAGCAAGTTCGCACCTGGCCCACCCCAGAAAACAGCACGGAGGTCAAAAGTTTCCTTGGACTTGCCTCTTATTACCGCCGGTTCATCCCTGATTTCTCGACCATAGCTAAGCCGTTGTACAAGCTAACGGAAGCCAAGGCGGAATTTGCTTGGACAGAGCAATGTCAGCTGGCTTTTGACAGCCTGAAGGGTTTACTTACGTCCGGTAGAGTCCTAGCCTACCCTACTAGGGAGGGAAAGTTTGTGCTAGACACCGATGCGTCAGACCATGGCATTGGGGCAGTGTTGTCACAGTTTCAGGACGGGGTCGAAAAACCCATTGCGTTTGCAAGTCGGACATTGTCCAAGTCTGAAAGGAACTATTGTGTGACGCGTCGTGAGCTCTTGGCAATCGTTGAGTTTGTTAAGCAACACCGGCATTACCTACAAGGTACAAGATTCTGCATTCGAACTGATCATGCCCCTTTGCGTTTTGTTGTCCAGGCCAAAGATCCCGAGGGACAGCTTGCACGTTGGATTGATTACTTGAGTACTTTCGACTTCGAGATCCAGTATCGACCAGGACAGCGACATCTGAATGCTGATGCACTTTCCCGTAGACCATGTGATGTCCGTTGTAAGTGGTGTAAGGGTTGGAAGTCACAGGAGCGAGCGTCATCTGTTGATGTGGGTGTTCAGACCGTGATGCATGTCCCTTGCCAGGACATCAAACAACCTGTGAATTGTGAAGAACCTGTTGGTGCTCGTTGTGCCACTGTCAAGTTAGAACCAACCTGGACTTCAACTTTCGTGAGGGAACAACAGGAAGCTGACTTTGATCTCAAGGTTATTATTGGTTGGAAGGAAGCCGGCAAAGAAAAACCATTGTGGGAAGATGTGTCGCCTCAGAGTTGTGCTGTGAAGACCTTGTGGTCACAGTGGGACCGGCTGCTCTTCAGAAACCGTGTACTTTGCCGCAGATGGGAAAGTGACGGAGGTGATCAGATTATTGACCAGGTCATTCTTCCCGAGAGTCTTCGACAGGCTGCCCTTGAAGCTCATCATAGTCATACGACTGCAAGTCATCGTGGTATACGAAAGACCCTAGGCGCCCTTCAATCTCGTTATTACTGGCCAGGACTTACTTCAGCAGTTCACAGATTGGTCGCCAGGTGCCATGTCTGTGGGTCTAAGAAAACCTGGGGACGCAAACGTCGTGCTCCGTTAAAGCAGTACGTGGTGGGAGCTCCCATGGAACGAATCGCGATTGACATTCTTGGCCCACTGCCAGAAACCCCGCGAAAGAACAAATTTATACTCGTGGTTAGTGACTATTTCACTAAATGGACTGAGAGTTATCCAATACCCAACCAGGAGGCCACCACTGTTGCAGAGAAGCTTGTGAGCGAGTTCATTTGTCGCTTCGGTGTACCCCGTCAGCTTCATAGCGACCAAGGAACTAACTTTGAGTCAAGGGTGTTTGCTGAAGTCTGCAGGCTGTTAGACATTGAGAAGACCCGCACCACTCCCCTGCATCCCCAGTCTGACGGACAGGTGGAGCGTTTTAACAGAACCCTCATTGAAATGTTACGTGGGAAGATCCAGCAAGACCAGACAGACTGGGATCTACAACTTCCAACTTGCATGATGGCCTATCGTGGTGCTGTTCATGAGTCAACCGGGGTTTCACCTAACCTCTTGATGTTGGGTAGGGAACTGGAGGTTCCCCTGGATGTCATAACTGAGAGACCGCCTGATGCATCACCACTCAAGACGGACTATGCACAAGCTGTTCAAAAGAGATTGGCTAGTGCGCATGATTTGGCCAGGCGTCATTTGAACAAGGCAGCTGTACGGCAGAAGCGGAACTATGACAAACGGCTTTCTGGGAGACCATTTGTTATTGGTGATTCTGTTTGGCTGCATAACGTTCGGAGGAAGAAGGGGAGAAACGCCAAACTTGACTGTCCTTGGGAAGGACCCTACCTTGTAATATCGGTGCTATCGGATGTGGTGTACCGTATTCAGAAGGGCCGAAAGGCCAAGCCTAAGGTCGTTCACTCAGACAGATTAAAGCCTTACCTGGGACCCCCACTGGAGAGATGGATTCCGAAAAGGCAGACGCGGTTATCGAGCCCAAGAGGAGAGGGGAGACAGACATCGGTTGTGGATTCAAATTGCGTCGACGAGGGACAGTCAGCTCCGGTTAACGTGAGAGAGGGAGCTGAGCGCGACGAAACGGAATCTACGGAAGCAGACAAGGATGATGTTCCCCCGAGACTCCAGAATGCTGATTTCATTGGGGATGATAGCGGTGACAAGCCTGAGGATGTGAGGAAACCTAAGCCTCGTGCGAGATTGACGACCTCTGTTGCACATGACCTTAACCAGGCGGGTGTTGGCTGTCAAACAGCTGAGTCGACTGTACAAGGTTTACCTGGGATTTATTCAAGTGTTTGTGGGAGACCGTCAAGGCAGCGGAAGCCACCAAGTCGATTCGGAACTTGGGTGACTGATTAACCTGAAATGTTCAGGGACTGATTAGCATTATAGGACAGTCTAGGCAACTAGACAAGTATAAGTTAATGCCTTTCATTACCTAAGAACTGTAGACGCTTGGCACGTTGATGAATGAACATTTGAGACTTGATCTGTTGCGTTTAATTGAAGTTGTTTTCGGAAACGATCTGCGAAATAGTGGACCAGCACTGGGACAGTGCTTAAGTAGGGGGGGAGTAGTGTAGCGCGAGGCAATCCCCGCGGGTACCCCTCTAAGTAAGTCACGTGAGATGGCGTAATAACCATGTGCGAAGAAATGATTGTAAGACGAGTGAGTAGTAGATTAAACATGTGTTGTTCTCTTAACGCCGTGTTTTAACTGGGAATCTTGGCGTTACAATATCAATGATCAAACGGAATCTGCCAAGTTCAGCTCTGCATGCAACATTGGATGACTTGTTATGGACTTCTAAATATCGTTTACAAAAGTGTAAATGAGTTTTAACCCTTTAAGTCCCAATAGTGACCAACAGCAATTTTCTCCTAACGATATCCATACATTATCATGAGATTAGGTTATGAGAATTAATAAAATGATCACCTAAGAGAAAATACTTTGATCTTTCATCAAATTCTCTTAAGTAGTTCTTAAAGGAAATGTTAAAGGAAATGTATAGAGATCAGTTTGGAGAATTTGTATGTGGATATTGGGGCTTAAAGGGTTAAATAAGTAGGTAGTGTAGAGGGATCTAAATGATCCCGTTTTGCTCAGCGCATTTACTTCTTTTAATTTTGAGACTGAGTTTTCATTACTATTGACTTTGTCGATGTGTCGATGATCAAGCTCAATTCGTAAAGGAGCATCTTTACCTTGTTACTTCTCTGATTACCTATTGACATCGCAAACTGAATCTTGCCGCATTTCCGCGCGGAGGCCGATACAGTAAACCAATAAAGCTAGTAGAAACATGGAATGTGTCTTGGGTTTTTATAGAAAATTTCAATATATAATTTCTTAAGGCAATGGCATAATGGTTAAGCTATAAGTGAAAGAAAACAATAAGGAAGTAGTTCATTTATTTATGTAAACTTATTTGATTGCTTTTTAGATAGGTTCTTGGAATAGAACCAAAGGTTCACTGTTCTTTGATAACATGTCAGCTAATGCAGTGGATAATTCATCTTCAAATGGGAATAGACTAGAGGGAAGGATGTTCCGGATTGTCACGATCGAGGTAAAAACGGTTATAGAATATTTAAGACCTCCAATTGTTTCCTAACAACTTTGGTCTTCGTGGTTGCTTAAATGCTTCCAATACAGTAAGCTCTTCTTTTTACATCATCATCGCTATTATGAGGGTTTGCACTTGATCTTATAATTCCCATTTATGTGATCTCTCGTCATCATTTTTGAGCAAAAAAAGCAATTTATTTTAAACGTCTATTAAACTTGTATTATCATCCTCCTCCTCATCATCATCATCATTGGGAGCTTAAGCGAAAGAGATTTTGGCGACGCCGGAAGTGAGACCATTTCCCCTTTAATATTCCTCGACGCTACCGAATTTGTATTGTTATAGAGTGTCTTTGCTCTTGCAGAGACGAGTTCCCAGAAAATTTGGGCAAAACCACTGCCCAAAGAATGCAAAATTTTCACTTCCTGTTGACCTGCTTAAACATCCTATTATCATCACCACCATTGTCTCGACTAATACCGTACAACAACAACAAACAACAACAACAAATTTTATTGAAAATTGGAAAATAACTAATTACATCACTTTCCCACCCGCAAATAGCTTATAAACTAATCGAGGCGGGGGAAGCTGAAGACATATTACAAAACAAGATTTATATATAGGTGGACTAAATAACAGTGAAGACACTACTATACAGTAAATAGAATTTAAACTAACATAAAACAAGGCAAGTACATAACTTAGGCATAATATGTCACACGAAACAAGATAACGAAACAAATAGAAGAAAGCAGAAGGAACACTTAAACATCAGAAATTTACGAAATGTTACGCGGAGCACTCAAACACTCGTCCGTCCATCTTAGCCACATCACGTGGCTAAGATGGACGTTTACTCTCCTTGAAGCTTGACCAAACCAAAAACTTGTTTTCGTGTTGATAATTGTCATGTTCTTATTTTTACAAACGTTAAACAAGGAGCCTCCTTTTGTGAGGGCAACGAAGAACAAGGATGGGACCTTTCAATATGAAGGATACTGTGTAGATCTGATTAACGAACTGGCAAAAATCCTCAAGTTCAAGTACGAATTCTACCCCTCCCCGGACGACAAATATGGCGCCAGAATGGAAAGTGGGACATGGGATGGGATGGTCCGTGAGATTTTGGATGGGGTTTGTATGGATTAGATCATATTTAAGGCAAAATTGTAGGTATGAATTTAGGATCATTCGTGTTTATGTTTTTTAAAAATATGGATGCTGGGAGTGGCCAACAGTATGACCATTGCTTTTCCTGCGTTACAGTATTTTCAATCGGGGGGGGGGGTTACTCCCTATAATGGCCTCATGATGGGGAGACTCCGACCGCGAAAGGGGTACCTTTTTCAGGCTTCAGGTACATGAAAGTGTAAGGATTTCACTAGTTGCAGTATACGAAAATGTAGGGAAATCTGTCATTTTGGTCTGTAAAAAGGCCTAAAAGGACTAACAGATGCATTTTATGACCTTGAAAAGCTCAAGAAAAGTTTCTGGTTTTGTGATGTATTCAGACTTTTAAGCCAGTGCATCTGCAGCCGTTAAAACGGATGTAAATTTCTAAGCTAGATATGTGAAAGGGGTACCATTTGTCATTATAGGGTATATAAAAAGGGGTACCTTTTCGGTCAAAAATGATATATAAAAGGGTAAGGGGTTGGAAATCCGGTCTAGTGAGCTTAGCAATCCTCCCCAGAGCAACCATAAATCAACAGTGCACGCTAAAGCGTTTACCATGTGTCTACCGTGTGTTTTATAACATAAATTTTATAGAAAACTTTTGAATTTGTTAACCGATAGTAAGAAAATGAGGTGAGCGTTGTTTTTGTTGTCATCTGCGCGAGATCTGCAGGGTGTGGCGTGTGCTAACAATTCTTGCAAAAGTTTTTCGCGTCTCGATCAACTATTACGCCTCTCTCGTGCTCTCCAAACTTCGCGCATCCTTCATATCTCGACATACGCACGCTGACGCATAAACCAATTGTTAATTATTAATTCATTTTTATCTGTAGAATGCAGACATGGCAGGAGCACCAATAACTATAACGGAAGAACGTGAAAAGGTGTTGGATTTTAGCGTTCCTTTCATGTACACCACAGAGGATTTGATCATGAAGAAGCCTTCGTCTGGAAACAAAGCAGTAGACTTGTTACAATTTATGACCCCGTTTGAAAATGTGGTTTGGGTTTGTACTCTAGCGACCTTGGTGATCATCTCTGTAGCAATATTTGTATTAAACTACTACAGTCCCTATGCATATGAAAATGAAACTGGTGAGGGCACTTCGGACAAAATCAGCTTTTTCGACAGCGTGTGGTTTGCATTAGCTTGTATGCTGCAGCAAGGTGGTGATAACACACCAAGAAGTTTGTCAGGTAGGAAAAAAAACTTTTTTTTGTAGATTTTAAAAATCTACTTCTTCAATTAATGCGTCAACTTTTCAACTTTTGAATCCCTTTTTAGAGGCAAATATACTTTTAATGGACTCAGGGTGGAATATAAATGACTGTCTTTGCAAGGTCGAAGCGTCAAAGAAAAAAAGGCCCCGTGTATATGAAGAAAAGCCCAGTGCCCGGCCTGGTAATTAAAGAAGGTCACTCAGCTTTACCCAGTCTTTATATAGGGAAAATGTTAACCCCCGCACTTTTGCCCGAGTCAACAGCGCTCAGCTTGCACATGCTCTGATTGTCTCGTCAAGTCTCGCTTAGTCCAGCCAACTTTTTTTTGTCATGTAAACGATTCGCTTAGTTTTGTAAGGAAATGTAGGAAATGTTGGCTCGCCCGGGATAGCTCGGTTAGGCAAGTAACCCTCCTACATGTGGGACAACTTTTCTCCATGTATAAAGGGGGCCTAATCGTCCCTGTCAGTTCTAACAAAAGCTACCTTACTCAGTTTTCTTAGAATTTCAGCGTACAAATTTCATGTCCCCATAGACTCCTCTGGTCACTTCAGGCTGACTAATAAGTCTTAGGATACTAGGTAAGATAATTGCCTACGTTCCGACATTTCATTTCTTTTTCGTTTTATTTTTTATTTCTTCCATTTTTCCATCTTTCTGCAGGTCGTATTCTTACCGGATGTTACTGGTTTTGCATTCTTGTCTGGGTATCAACATATACCGCCAACCTAGCGGCTTTTCTTACTGTCAAAAATGCTGCCAACGCGATTAAAAGCCTGCAAGACGTTGCGAAAACTTCCTATCAAGTTGGTGTAATTGAATCCTCTAGTACAGCTGAGTCCTTCGCGAACACCCACCATTTGCCGTTCGTAAAGATTTGGCAGCGAATAAAGGCAGAAGAAACATTCGTCCAGAACACTTCTGATGGAATCCAACAAGTGAGAGAAAAAGCAAACTTCGTGCTTGTCGGTGATGGCACTAAACTTGAGTATATTGCCAACCTTCGTCCATGCGACCTAATGACAGGTGTGTAAGGCCCCAGTGGATCAAGATGGCTTGCATGAGAGGACAAGCCTTGTCCATTGGTTATTAACCGGGACAAATTTACTTTCTTCGTGACAGTGATAGTGAAATATAATCGTGAAAGTAGAATTACTCTTGCCTTTTTTTTTCCGGAACAATTTCCGTAAGTTTTTTATCATTACTTATTCAATAACCAGAAATAGTTCGAACTCAAAAACCGGAAAATAGGCCACAAGGGGGCGTAAAGGGCGTACGAATATTAAAAAACCGCACAGAAATACGTATAAACACCGCACAGAATAACACAAGAAAACCGCAAACAGCATTGAAATTACCAGAAAATTTCTAAATACCGCAAACCGCCTGGTTTTGTAAAACCGCAATATGGCAACTTAAAATAAAATTTCCGCAAAACCGCACCAAAAATCGAGCAAAACCGCATCACCGCAAACCCTTTAACGCCCCCTTTTCTGCGGCAGCATGTGTATTGATGTGTATTGATGTGTAGCCTATTTCCAAACTGGAAAGGTTTTTTTAACCTTAAAGGGACTATTTTAAAAGGATATTGCTGTTTATGTCAATTCTCTGCTAAGGTTGTGCCTTTACTCATTGAACTGATCCTATAGAGTTATTTGAAGAAGATATGATAATCAAACAGATTCCATCAGGGAGCAATAACCAGTATAATATTTTTTTGGTGATGTTTGCAAGCATAGTTAAAACTCAGTGAAGATGTTGAGCCAATTTTTTCAAGTTTCAATCCATGTCCATCCTTGCCATCCGTTGCAACAGACAACAGGAGACAGTTTCAATGGCTAAATATAGCCTTAAAAAACAAAACTGGACCATTATTTTTGAAATTAAATTGAAGCGAAGACACCTTTTAGCTTTTTTGAAAAGATAGCAAATAGGGTTGATATAGCCCTTTGAAGGGGATGAAATGTTCATTTGGGAAAACTCCGGCATCTGGGCTTCAGAAGCCGAGAAAAAACCCGGTTAACCAGGTTAATCCTCTCTCAAGAAGGATACACTGAAGTTTTACATAGGTGAGGTAAGATCATCGTCAACTGATACAGCCAAAAAGGCCGGGCAAACAGCCAATCAGGGATTTTTTGCGCTTCATTTGAAGAGTTGTATCTCCATTCTCTAGATAGCGCTTTCCAAAACTCAGGCCTGCCGGTCGGACCAAGGCCTTACCAGTGATTTTGAAAATGAAATAGGCTTTTTACAAGAGTTTTTGATGAAAAAAAATCATCTCTTTCTTGCTTACTAGAACTCAGGATTTGACTAATCTGGCTGGATCGTTTTGATTAAAGGTGAAATTTTCATTACGACGAAATGGTCTAGCTGGTCGACAATAATGGAACGCGCCCTTAGTTATACGCTCAAACCGTCGTTATTGCTTGATCTGAATCCTATGGTTGAGAGAATTTCCAGAACAATATGACAAATAAGCTTTATTTTCCATCCAGTTCCAGGTCTCAGAAGAGCTAAGGGACTGGCGTTCGGTTTTCCAGCTTATGATCCACATACTATGGATTTTACTCTGGCCATTTTGCGTCTTCATGAAAATGACTTCCTGGATAAGCTGAAGCGAAAGTGGTGGGACATGGCTAATGAATGTCCCGAAGAACAAGAAACAAGTGAGTTACAAAAGAAATTGCACAAATTTGTTTATACACGAAACCCTTGAGAGTCTTTAGCCCTCTAATCAATCAAACGTAGCAGTTTGTAATCATTTTATGGCGGCAAATTTTCTGCGAATGCAGCTGTTTCTCCTCCTTTCTTGCCCCGCTGTGGATATTTTGCGCAAGAGACGTCCATAGCGCAGCAAGAAGCGAGGAGGAGAGACGGTTGTATACTAGCAGGCTAGGTGTTAAATTGACTCTATAAAGTCAGTTGACAATCATCGTATACTAAATGCTTTTGCTGAAAGCTAAGAGTTTCTTTTTCTTGCTGTGACAAAGCCATGTTATGTAAAGAAATTTCTAACTCAGAGCGATTAAATTTAGAGTTTCAGAGTTTTTATTTCGTTACAAACTCAAGATTGATGGATATTAGCGAGCTTAAACAACGATGACGGCGACCGCAATGGCAACGAGAGGGAGAAAAAAGCAAGAGGTTTAGATTAGCAAAACAACAACTTTGCGCGTGCATCACCCTTTTTTGTACATTTCTTTGCCGACGCTGCACGACTAAAACGTGAAAGTGCCTAATTTCACGTTTCTTCGACGACGTGAACAGCAGACGACTCTTCACCTTGACTTCGTTTCGGTCCAAACAATTGCAAAAAAAAGGACCTTGGCCAATGTCCAGCGATCTTGACTTCACTTTTGGTCAAAAGCTCTTATTTATTTTCTTTCCGTCTTCTTCCTCCCTTCCTTTTTTTTCTTTTTGGCAGCGTTGTCTCAACAGCGGATGGGTTTTCTGAATATGTTGGGCGTGTACGTCGTCATGAGCTGTGGGATAGTTGTAGCATTTATAACGTTGATTGCAGAGATCTTCTGGAAGAAAATGAAGAAACGGGAGACTAAACTTTCATGTTTTAAAGGTACAAGGTTATCCTTATTAAAGTCCGGCCAACCGGGAAATCTTCTCTAGAGTCTGTACTGTTCTGGGTGGGGAATGTCAAGCCGATGATTCTGACTGTGATGTCCGGTCGAGTGTTCTTGGCTTGTTGATAGGTCTGTCTATGATAAACAACATGTAGCCAAGGTGCTTTACTGTGCTAATACTCCGTAAACGCATAGTCCACAAAAAGAAAGAACACAAAGGGCCCGGCCTGGGAAACTTTCATTCGGCGGTTAATGTTTCACGTTATTATTGGTAACGGCACCCTGCCAGCACAGCCTTTCTTTTGCTTACTCTATTGTGGTTTACTCGAGGAAGACTGTATGAATCGAGTAAGATCTTTATTGAGCATGCGCGGCATGTTGCTGGAATAGAGCTCCGAACCCAGACCTAATATATGTGCGATTGGCTCAGCGGGCTCAATTATCAACATCGGTTTATCAATAACGGATGCTCGCACTCAAAAACCCAGTTTGACGAGAGAAAACAAGATTGACTAGTCCAGAAGTTCGGGTTGTGGCTACTTCAAAGTTTTAACGCGATTCAGGTAGAGCTTCCTTTTCTCTTCCTTGATGAAGGCAAAAGGAGACTGGACTCGTAGCGTGTGGGAACGGATGTCTTCTATCTAGCCTGCGAGCAAGCTCTCCGGGGCGTACGCTCTGACGGCGGGGTCGGGAAAAGGAAGGAGAGCTTACAATTTGTAGGTCTCTGAAATTTGAATATCTGTGTCGAAAAAGTCGATGCAAAATGTTGACTGGCGGAGATGACATTAATAATGACGTCATAACCATGAACATGTGTTTTCCAATGTTTGTTTACATTCCCGCACGTTTCCGCCTCTCGCTGATTGGCGGAAATCTGACAGCTCAGTCGACGGGGAGCCACAGGGGAATTGGAGGTGCAATTCAAATCCCAGAGACATAGTTACAAGCTCTCCTTCCTTCACCCGCCTCGCCGCCAGAGCGCCCCGGAGAGCTTGCTCGCGGGCTACCTTCTATCCGTAATTGTTTGCGTTAAAAACAAACATACAAAGTAACAACGCCAACAGCGTACGTTATAAGCTATTTTTCAGTCAGTATAATCAAAAAGTTACAATGCAGCCGATATAAAAGACTATCATAAGTATTTCTGGTCAACCTGAGAATCCATCAAAGTTATCTTGTTTTCATTGGCTTATTTCTATAAGAGGATTGACTGCTTCTGGACACTAAAATCCGCGCTCGTAAGGAATGAATCCCGGGGGGGGGGGGTACTCCCATATGAAACAGACGGGGATGCTCGTCGGAAATTTTGAATTTAACCCCTAACGGAGACCATCTGGGCGTGGCTCAAGCTTTTTATGACCCCTAAAGAAGACCAATCTGGACGTGGCTTAAGCAAATTTTGACCCCTAAAAGAGACCGCTTAAAAACACACAAATACGACATGCAATGAGTTTTAATGATATAAAGACATAACAAACAAAGTTAAAAAGAAAATTTGACTTCTGTTTCTCTTCGCGGAATTCTGTGTTTCTTCGCGGAACCCTAAACGAGACCTTGGCGGCTTAAAATATTGGCGCTTTGCCCGGAACACCCTAAGCGAGACCAAAGGGATTTCCCCATACCCATACCCCTATCCCCCAATACAACACTTCATACCCACATCACCCTACTTACCCAACCTACCCAAACCATCATCATCCCTTACTCGAAATCCTCACATCACTACACGTCACACGATATGTACACCTGATTTAAATAATAGACCACAAGTAAAACTCTAAACATGTCAAAGAAATGAGTTTTAAAATTAAAAAGATAGAAAAAAAAAAATTAAAAAAAAAATTTTCCCTTCTTTTTTCTTGGGGGGATTCTTGTTTTTTCCCGGGAACCCCAACCGAGCCCTTGGGGGCTTAAAAATTTGGGGCTTTTCCCCGACCACCCCCAGGGGACCAAAAGGGATTCCCCCCCCCCCCCCCCCTCCCCACGGGAATGAATCATTTATCAATTCTCTCCCCACTACTTCAGACGGAGAGAACGTCTGAAGATCATCTACGGGATGAACGTCGATCTTCACCTGCGACAACTAAAATAATAAATTAAAAATTTGTATGATAACACATTTAGCCTCGTTCGAGAGAAATTCATCACTGATCTGATTTAGTTGATTGGTTCGAGGAGTTCTAAGTTTGACGTCTGACCAAACAGACGATCCAATTAACAGTTTCGTTCGTCTCATGAAAAGTTCAACGTTTGGCCGAAGCCTAAGCTTTGTTTTGTTCTTCATAGGTCAGTCGGCGAAAGCTCTACCATAATTTCTGCAACTGACTGGAATTGAACCACTCTCAACAAGGATTAAAGTGGATTTTGTTTACGCGAATTAGTCAGTTTTCCTTTTTTTTTCTGTCGCGAATACTTGGCACATAGCGACTTTGATTCCCGCTGGGCTTCCATCAACTGAACACGCTAAACGGGTACAGGATTTGTGCCATGAAACCGCCATTCAAGTACGCAAATAAAATAAAGAAAAAAGGAATTTTTGCGCTTTAGCCGCAAGTGTCAGTGTTGGGGCAGTTTTGTAAGTTTCTAAAAGTGCAGGATTTATAAGTCGAATATTCAAACTAAAGTCAGAATCCGCTGGCAAGCTTTTTTGGGCATAAAACCTGGTTTGTTCATGATACCAATGTAAATCAGAAATATCATTGACGCTGTTGCTTCCAATTACAACGTAGTCCCTGTATGTCCTTTGCAGGAAAAATAATGCGCGGGAAAATTTTTTAAGACTGCTTATAAAAAAAATTAATCGAATTGGATTTAACTGCGTTTGAAATTGGTCACAATCAGTATACTAGAGTAACCCACATATAAATCTGATATGAAATGAACAGACAACTCCTTGTATACAGGCTTTTATTCCTCATTGAAAGCAATAAAAGGTTTACCTTAATAAGCTGTTCATTGTGTTAGTCGTTTAACTTATATATCCCCGAATTCAACTCTCATTTCTGACCTTTCAGATGGAAAAGATGTATTACAAAATACCGTCAACTTCCCTTTATGAACCCTGGGATCACAACACTTCGTAAGGGGGGGGGGGGGGGTGGGGGGGGGCTTT